AATTTCTAACTTCAACAGATTATATAATTTGGATTTATTAAACTTGCGTAAGCAGGTGTCTTGCTATCGGAAACTAAAGTTTTTATCCCGTTAACCACTTTTCTTAAAAATCTTACTTGTTCCACTTACTTGCTGTCTTTTTGAAATTTAAAAACTCCTAGGTCCGTTCCCACTTGACCTAGAGGTGACGCCATTGCCTTTGCACCCTACGGTTAGGCGTTCAGAGCTTTTTTTTCCTGTATATATGCAATTGCAAAAATTTTTCACGGTTGAAATGAATTGCCATCCTGTCGTTCCTGTCCACAAACTTTATTGGCGTAGCTGCCACTATAAAACAAGGATTTGGCTTGTGTTGCAAGCAGGTTTAATTGTAGTTGCAAGTGAGTGTTGTTCAAATTAGTTTCAAGGGAACCTTTTCAAATTATTTTTTTTCGCTCTACTTGTGTCCGCTCAAAGATTGTTCGATTGGTTTTCTCTAAGTAAGTTTCGTTTTGTTGATGAGTAGCCTAGCAATAAGCAAGGGTTTTGCAATCGGTTACCAGGCTTTTTTGCCGTAAATAGTTTTCTTCATTCACAGATTGGTCAAAATAAGAAATGATAAGTTTAGGTTCAATTCTTAATAAATCTAGTATTTTTGCGGCACACTTGGCCTGGAGGTTCGAATATGACAGCACCTCATTTTTCTCAATCAAGAAGTATACTTTTAAAAAAAAACTGCCGACAGTTTCTGGTCTGCTTGTGTTTTGTCGGCTTAGTTGACCTTTTGAGAATTGTTTTTTGAAGATTTTTGTACCTCATAATTGTTTTTAGTGTTCTAATTTAATTCTGCTGTTTGAAAATTTTTAAACCTCGATCACGTATATTTTCTTCTTCCTTTCTCTTAAATTTTCTTAGCCCAAATGTTTTCTGCTTGTTTTTTATCGGCTTAGTGACCTAATTTTGAGATGAAAAAAACGTTTTTATGCTCACCTCTGGAAGCGCTAAAAGTCTGAATAGAAAATATAGTTTATGTTTCTATGACATTTTTTTTCGGTTTTTTTATTTTCTTTTCCTTTTTTTGGATGCGTAGGTTTTTGTCTATAATATCTCGGTTTATTGGTATCATATTGCGTCTTTTGACCAATAAAAATTTTTTCTGTGTGCTTGTCTGTTTTCTGAGTGTGAATTGGACTGAATAAATTCTAATTAATCTTTACTTTTTTTATTTTTGTTTTTTTTTTAATTTCCTTTCTTGGACTTAACAGGTTTCCACTTATATTATATCGCCTTAGTGGCCTCATATGGTTTCAGCTGACAAGAATTTTGAGTGTTTTGAGGGTGAGGGGGAGTTAATAACATTTTATAAGTCTTTAGCCTTCTTGAATTCTTTTCGGCCTTAAGGATATCTGCCAAGGTAGTTTTTGGCGTTATTACAGTGGGTAAATTATTTTCTGATGCTGATCTTCTGATTTTCGGTTGTTTTTGAATGTTTTGTCTCTAAACTAGCCTGATGCAATTTGATAGACCTTGTGTTTTTGACAATTTGGATTTTTTTTCAATTTTTTGTGTTGTATCGCAAGTGGCGCGAAGCTCAGCTTCGCCTCTGTGTTTAATATTCAAATGTATGGCGTTTTGCAAATAATAAACGTCTTCCAAGACTTTCGAAAACATAAATTTGGTAGTTTTTCCAATATTTTTCATTTTATATACGATTTTCCTGTTTGTGTTGTGCCGCAAGTGGTGCGAAACTCCGCTTCTCCTCTGTATAATTTTCGCTCTTTTCATCAGATTGAAAGGGT